TTGCCCCACTGTTGAGGCGGTGACAAGGAGGAGGAGGGTTTCTGCACAAGCTGAAAGCAACGAGGAGGCACTGTTTTAATGCAAACTGATTGAAGTTGAAGATTACTGATTAGTAGTGGTGCAGAAGGGCAGGGACAGTCTGAACCTTTGCTTACAGCATCATTTTAGTTCCTGCCCACATAATAAAACAATAATAAATAATAAAATACATTTATATAAAAAAGTAAGCCCTTGTTGTGAACTTTGACCCACTTAGTGCCGTCCAAAAATTAATTTATGATGAGTTTTTAGGCTGGAGGAAAGGATTTTGGGGGAGGACAAGATATGAGCTCAACCAATTTCAAGTTGATTTTCTTAAAGCTGAGTAAGATTTAGAGGGCACAAAGGCTGAGGGAGATAGAGAGCCGTTCTTGAAGCTGTTTGACCTCAACTCACCTTTATTACAACATTCTTACACTATTTATTCAGCCTGGGCCTTTGTTCTGTGCTGTGAATGAAGTAATGAACCAGCCCCAATGTTAAGCATAATCTAATACTGTCATTATAATGGTGATTCACTGTGAACCCCGAAGGCTGCGATATGTGGAACACAAACTTAAAAGGGCACCATTTTTATTGGAATCAAAGAAGGGAAGTGACTTTGAAGCTTTTAACTTACGTTTTTCAAAGCTCCCTCAGAACTTGAGCGCAGAGGCCACGCAGCAGAACCCTAAAAACAAGCGTTTAAAGTAACACGAAGTTCTTCTCTGAACTCGAAAATCCATGAAGTTTGAGAGGAGAGTCGAACGAAATGCTTGTAAGGAAATTTAAATATTGATTTTGAGAATTTACTCCATTATCATTGTATTAAGATAATTCAAAATGAATTAATTAGATATTGTATTTATCCCCGTAGGAGAAATGCAGGTGTCCAGTAGCAGCAAAAACACATCCATCCACACAAACAATAGTAATAAGCAACAGCACCATTTTCTCTGCTCTAGTCCAAAGTAAAATGCTGAATCCTTCATTAGCATTTTTCCAAAAGTTAGCATTCCTCCAGTGGATTTTAGCCTGATCCGCCTGGTTCGGACCATGAATCCTCTCTGCTCTGGTCTGGACCAGTGAAAAAAACATGAACACTGTACTGCAGCAACATCTCAGGTAGAAAAAAATCAAGAAAAATTACAATTAAAACTCAAAACAACCGTTTCAGAGCTACTTAGGACTTGCTGTCGTTTCCGGCACATTCAAAAGTAAACTATACAAAAATATAGAAAATGTGAGATTTAATTTTATCTCATTTCATTTTTTCATCCCTTTATTTATTCATTTCTGGGTCAGGGGGGTGGCAATCAGAGCTGCCACTCAATTCACAATGTACCAGTCCCTCACTGATCCTCCTGCCGGGGGTGGGTCCACAGGAAGAGGGCTGCTCCTTCAACAAAGATACAGCCTTGTTTTTTCAGCAGGGGCTTCAGGCAAAGTGGGGTGAGGTGTCTTGCCCGGAGATACAATGACGGGACACATCAGTGGGAGCAAATGACACAACAATTATCTTTAATATATAAATGTCAAATGAGCGGGAGATACATGAGTAAAACATGAGTCAAGAGCAAAACTTAATAGTCTTGCTCAAATAAGAAAGTGCACTTATGCTAGTAGCACTGTTGACTTTTCTTCATTTAATGCAAAGAGAAGTGTCCTTGGACTGATTAAACTTTTATTACATCTGAACCCACTCGAGCATCTTAGTGTCTCAAGGTGAGCCACTTCTCAAAGCAAAGTTTATATTTAAATATTTAATCCGTTTGCTGAAATAGTCTGACTGACTGTAACACATCTAATCCTGTGTGTTTTGATTCCATCTGGCTTTCCATAGTGCTACTCTAGCCGACTATAATTACGCAATAATGAATGTGTGCACAGCTTTTTCAAGTCTGATACCGATACTGTCCATCCATTCATTCATTTTCTTCCGTTTCATCCGTTGCCGGGTCGCGGGGGCAGCAGTCTAACCAGAGAGACGCCCAGACTTCCCATACTTCTTATACTTCATTAACTGTTGATTCCCTCCAGACAGAAACCGATACCAGTGGGGACTGACTTTTTTGTTCACCTCAAATCACAGCAAACTTAAAAAGCAAAGGGTAAGGAGAGCTGCGTGGTACAAGTGCGTAAAATTATTTAAAAGACCGGGTGCTAGATTGGAAGAGTTTAACTTAGTAACCAAAAAATTTAGTTTTGACTTTCCAGGTAAAAGGCAAATGGTTAAGAACTTAGAAAATCAAAAAATCCAAGGCACTCGTGGTCAGTAGTTTAGAAAAGTTTATAAAGCCTTTATTTTCTCATGGCTGTGGATTAAAATACGCACCAACGTGTGTCAGCCTGGCTTGGCCTTCTTCAGGGTGCAAAACAAAGCAAACTTAAAGCTGGAGTATCTAAATTTGAAATTGTTTGACTATTTCCTCGCTCTCAAAACACTTTGGTTCTGTCACTAGTTTTCACATGCATGTATTTATGGCCTCTGTCACATTTTCAGATCAACTATTAGATTATTAAAGAGGACCAGCCCTCTCCTTCAGCAAACCAGCTCTCAGTACGTGAAAAATAAAATGTTCTAATTAAGATACAGATAGAATTTTGTCTTATACTGGACCATGAGTCTGAAATAAAGGTTTGATGATGATGACTGAAGGTTTTTGTCTGAATGTTGCTTAAACAAGACACTTTCTGGTGGGAAACAACACAATGAAAAAAAAAGTGAGGTACTCCATCTTTAATAGTATTTTAAACTAGATTCTGTAAGTAATAACAGAACTCTCTCTCTCTGTGAAAGTGATATCTTCTGTACGCAGCGTTCTGGGCTTATATGAGTCAGGACATCAGGACCTATGAAATAATGGCAAACTCCAGGGATCTTCTGAACTAATGTCATCAAACCAATACCACCAAAATGTCCAATATTCAAGGTCAGTTTTGTGTCGGTGAATCACTGCTGATGAAACTCAGAAAATTATAGTTCATCAGTGTATTTCATTCCACTATTTGTTATAAACTTGTTGCATAAATAAGCCTTTGTTTCTTAGAACTGAGGGTTATGGCTCATAGTTCCTTTTCAAAATATTCTATTCTCCTGAGATTTTTTACTTGTGGTTTTTTACAAGCTGTGAGCCGATTATCGATGTTTATAACAAATAAACGTTTGACATATCTCCCTTTGCGTGACATATCTCACTTTGCATGACATAAGTCTTTCATTTATTAGTTTGAATTGCAGAATTAACTTTTGAGCAGTATTCTTTTATTTAGAGTCAAATGTTGCAGCGCACATATAGGACAGTAGTAAGAGAATACAGGGAGCACACAAAATATACTAATATAATATAATATAAGTAGCTGCTATATGTTTCTTAGCTAGCTGTAAATGCTTCAATATCAATATTTCGATATATCTCTAGTGCAAAGTTATATACAAACAGGGCATACAGTATAGAGAAGGATATAAGTACATAAAGTGACATTATACAACTTTTCCAGCAAAACAAACAGCTATTCATTTTCAACTTCTCACCAGAAATAGTTCCATGACTGAACTCTTTCTGCCTAATGACTCCTGGTCTACCCTGCGTGTTTAAGTAGTGACAGCATCTGCCTCTACATGTGCTGTAAAAAGCCCACACCTTCTGCTGCGTACATCAGAATGCACCTGAGCATATCACTGGAGAGCGGCTGATGAAGGTTTTTTGTGGTACTGTATATACGGAGCCCGATCCCAGCAGGTTCACAAGCACGGCTTTTCAACATCCAACCGATACCTTTTCAAGGCTCGTGATGACAGAGCAGAACTCAGACAGCTACTGCAACTGCACATCACGCATAATCCTATAGAACTCTTCACACTACATGGATATTCATAGATTTGTTATCAGGTTGCTCCTGTAGATAATCATGAAAAAGAGAGTGATGGAATCTTGTTTGTATACACATATTTTTCTTAATGAACAGGTAATGAGAGGTGGGCTGTCTCATCTATCAAGCTCCTGTGAATCTTCAATAAAAATAGTCTAATAACAACATTGTAATAAAATAGTTAAATTTACTTTTGTATTCAATTTCAGTAATTTCTATTTATAGCTTTCAAATAGAAGTCAAGACACAACCAATGTGTGCACTCTCCAAGTCCCAAAGTAATCGTAAAACCCCAAATGCACAAATGTCATTGTGAAGGGAAACCTCCTTTCACATAGTTAATCTTTGTTTATTGTTGTTTTATTATTAATTTAAACATTGTACTTGTTTTTAATTGTCTGTGATGGGTCGATCATAATTATTTAATAATGTGTTGATCTGTGTATATTTGAGAATTAAGTATTTCCTTTACTATGACTGGCTTGTTTTTGCTTTGTCCTGTTGGGCGAGGGGTCACCTGTGTATGGACTCGGACACCTGTGTATGGACTCGGACACTTGTGTATGGACTCGGACACTTGTGTATGGACTCGGACACTTGTGTATGGACTCGGACACTTGTGTATGGACTTAGACTTCTGTGTATGGAGTCGGACACCTGCGTATGGACTTGGACACCTGTGTATGGACTCGGACACCTGTGTATGGACTGGCTCAGTCCTGAACATGACCTCTGACCTCTGCACTGCTCCCTCCCTTGTGGTCCTGGTGGAGGATGTGTATAATGAAAAAATGTAGCTTAATTAATTTAAAGTTAAAATGTAATCTTTGTCATGTTTAGAAGTGGTGCAGAGGTAATGAGGCTGTTAGCAACAGATCTCTGTGACCAAGGCTGCCCCAAGCTCACCGGGGTCAGTCAGGATAACATATGTGGCCCAGTTCGGAACAGCTAAGATGCCAAAGCAGCTACAGCTGAGACTAGACTAACATGTCCACAGTGTGTAGGTGTCTGAATGGACTTTAATGCCATTATGATTATTTAATTATGGTAAGTCATAAAGTGGAGAGCAGCGATTGGCCGTGACTCGTGCGTCCTGCCGCGCGTGCCACATGACGCAGCGAGCTTGTGGTCAGTGCGCGGACAGCGGCAGCAGCGGCAGCAGGTGGACGAGCCGCGCACAGAGTCTGAAGAGCGGCTCACAGAAGCGCTCCTACCCGCCTCAGGGCTCCACCTCCGCGGGCACAGAGCAGCACCAGTCCCGTCAGCAGAGCCGCACCATGCCTCCATCCTGCTCCCGTCCTCCCGCCACTATCACACCGCGGGACGCGGGAGAATAACCGCCTCCTCTCGGATACATGACTTAACTCTGCTGAAGTCACTGACGGAGAAACGCGCGTCTATGGGAGATGAACGTGGCGGGGACTCAGCAGCTGATAGAGCGACCCGCCAGCCTGCCAGCTCCAACTTCGGTAAGAACTGTTTCTAATGTTCAGTCTAGGAACGTGTCCAGTTGTCTTTATTCAAGTCACAAATGTTTACCATTTAGTAGCAATGACTTTTGTTTATGTCAGTGCCTAGGGTAATGTAAGATACCCCTCATTTGTATGTATTTTTCATCCTCTTTATTTGCCTGTTATGCCGTGGGCTAAGGCAGGCAGCACAGCAGGGTCAGTCTCAGTCTGACTGTGATACTTCCAGGCCTATTCTCTCTGAAGTCTTGGTCAGACAGGCTACAAAGTGTCATGCAGTGCTGTCTTATATTATCATTATAGGCAAACGTCTTGCTTTCTATTCTGATATATAACTATGTAAACTGAACAACCGAGTGGATTGTTTCGGCTGTCTTAATTGTATCTACTGGGGATGTACTGAACAATTAGTTTGTATGTTCCAAATACAACCAATGCAATTATTTTCCCCTCTTCACAGCAGAATTGTATTTTGACCTCAATATTTCAGCTTCCACAACCAGACATCTCCTTCGCATCTCCTCTGTACTGTTTTCTTTTATTTCTCTCACCTTTAATTTCTCTGCTCCCTGGGGTCCTTCTCACACTTTCCGGTCATGGCGTTTTCCTTTTAGCCCAGATCCTCCCGGGTTTTTCAAAGTGCTGGGCGGCTTAAGTCCTCTCAGCATGTGCTCATATGTCACACTTCCATTTAGAGCTGACTTATTGCTGGAATTATACAGTAGGGTCTGGAAAAGGCTTCTGCTTCCTATGTGGTCACCTGCAGTTGTGCCCACAGCTCTCTCTGTAATTAAAGGCAGGATTTGGCTGGGTTTCATTAGTTAAAGGGTGAAGGTGAGGGATTGTTGCCTTCTGCCTACTACTAATCAAATGAGTGCTTAATGGATGATAATGGAAATGTTGTTGCTGCGGAGAAGTGTTCAAAATAGAATGGTATTACAAGTGTCTTTTGGATCATGGTTGGCTGATGACCACTGCAGACTAGATTTCTAACACATGGACTGAGTGCAAACTAACCACATCATCAACATTATCACAAGGAGACACTTGATGATTTCTTTCTTGTTTTAAGCATGAAAAGTCAAAATGCACTTAATATTCATATTTCTCAAAGAACAAAGGGTAAGGAGTGCTGTGTGGTACAAGCGTGTAAAGTTATTTAAAAGACCAGGTACTCAATTGGAAGATGGGTTTAACAAAGAATGGAGTTTTGACTTTCCAGGTAAAAGCAAATTAAGAAGATCTTAGAAAATCAAAAAAATCCAAGGCACTCGTGGTCAGTAGTTTAGAGAGTTTAAAAAGCCTTTGTTTTGTCATGGCTGTAAATTTAAAATACTAATTTTTATTTATTTTCTAAGATCTTCATAATTTGCCTTTACCTGGAAAGTCAAAACTCTATTCTTTGTTACTCAATATTCATTCTTTGGCTTGCAATAGAATCACAATAGCTCTCCTCATAAAAGTGAAACCCAGAAAATCAGAATATCGTTCATAAGTGGTAAAGTCATTATTGACGTTTATGTCAATAATGTTTTATTTGGTGTTTTTGTGAACCAATAATCAACATCCTTATCAAACAAAGCCTAAAATTGTATCACTTTTCATGTAATGAGCCAGTCATGTATAAGTTTTACATTGTTAATTTTGATTGATTGTTATTTAATTGAGCATTTTACAAACATATTTTTCATTGTTACAAGGTTACACTGTTATAAAGTGGCTCAAAAGGAGTAGGCTGAAGCAAGAAAGCTTATTAGTGCCCACCCCCTGTAGTGGGCACTAATTTGAATTTATTTTAGTTTCACCTGCATATGCGGTTCCTTACAAACAAAACAACTGAACAAATGATAGAAATGTGTCTGAAATAGGGAGAATCACTGCCATATACCAAGTCCGGTAATAGTTTTCTGTTTTTCTCTTCTGAAAGTTTTGAAAATTGTGTCATGGTGCCAAAATTGTTCATTTCAGAAAATTTACATCACAAATCCACCAAACAAACTAACATAACTTTGTATGTATTTGAAAATGGATTAATTGACAACAAATGTATAGCAATGCACCGTTACTGATATCGGGTATCAGGTTGATACCATAGGCTTGTACTCGTACGCGTACCATAGGACCCGATTCCGGAAACCGATACCCACATTTTTAATCCACATTAGCGTCCGAACAGCAGACAGCTTGCGGGACGTGTTTCCATGGTGATCTCCCAAAGTCTGCAGCGATAAAGCCAGCTACCGGTAAGCAAGTTCGCGGCAAGCAAGCGGACAAAATAACGGCCGTATGGTAGAGTTTTAAAGTAAACGAGAGTGACGAGTAATGCTAACTTTTGTGTAAAACTCTCATAAGGTGGGTCCAAAACAAACACGTATAACACCAGCAACTTGAATCATACTCACCACCACCAGAAGAGTCCCCTTTGCTAGCACCGGAGCTATTTCTACCATTTATATGAGTGGAATATAACAGGGGCTCTTATTGTTGACTGTTAAAACAATTGCTGAAATGTTTAATTGTTAAAGCATTTTCTTGTTGTTGAAATTAGAAATACAACATTTTTAATTTCAGTTGTATTAGTTTTATGAATTCCCGGGATAACACTATGCAGTACTCATATCGGTATTCGGTATCGGCAAGTACTGAAAATAAGCGTTTGAAAAAAGTGGTATCTGTGCATCCCTATAAATATACATTCATCTTTCTGTAAAAAACTTTTTGCAGTACAGTACATGTGTATATTGCTGCTCTAGGGTTCAAAATATAAATTCCAAAAAAAGCAGTAATTGAAACGTCTTAATATTTGTGGAAACCCTACGACAGCTCCAGGCTCTGTTGAGGTGTCTTGGATGATCCGTCATCTGCGATAATATCAATAATTTTACAGCCTTCTATTCCTTACTATTGCTACATTTTTTTGAGGTGCAATACAAACACAATATCCACCAAAAATAGCATCTTAATATTGAGACTTATTTACCCACCACAGATGAATAAAAATGGAAAAATATATCTATTACAACCCAAACTTGGCTCTGAGAAGGGGACAGGAAAAGGCAGAAAAGATAAGAGTACTGAACAAAACTTAGAGTCAAAAAGGTCTCAGTACGGTCAGCTCTCCAAAACACGACTGTTTCTCAAGGGTGGGGCACTTGTACTGAAAACAAGCTGCCCCGTCCGGACGTCACACCGCTGTTTTATTGGCCGCGGGCAGGTCAGCTGGTGGCGCTGATTGATTCGGCCGGAGCAGCGTCCGGGAGGCGGGCCCTTGGTTCGGCGGGAGTGAGACAGACCCACAGACAGGAGAGACACACCGGGAGAGGGAGGGGATGCTTGCACAAAACGGCCCAGATCTGGAGCCGTAACAATATCTAAATTAGGGCCTTAAATCACTGTGGAAGATAATGTGGCGACAGTTGCTCAGTTGGTAGAGCGTTGGCCTTTGAGCCAGAAGGTCGTGGGTTCGAGCCCACCTGAAGACTTTCGTCATCTACACCCACTGATGTCTGCTGTCGTTGTGTCCTTGGCAAGACACCTTACCTCTGGGAACACCTGATGCCACAGTGGGGCGGCTGTAAAGTGCCAAACTGTCATTTTGACCTTAGGCAAGACACTTCACCCCCATTGCCTAGAATGAGTCTGGTGCGTGTGAGAATGGTGATTGGAGGGGCCGATGGCACATACTAGTGTGCCCCAGGGCAGCTGTGGCTACAGTAGTAGTTTATCACCACTGTGTATGGAGTGAATGAATAATGACACGTAAAGCGTCTTTGAGTGTCCAAAAAAGCGCTGTATAAAACTGATGCATAATTATTATTATTATAAATTTGACCCGAGGCTAGCACCAAAAACCCAAAAAACAGCAAAACCGTTCAAAATTATTTATTTCAGAACAAATATCCACCAACAACAATAAACTAACATTACTTCGTACAAACAGACAATACTATGTGGAACAAAATCCTACAAAAACACCACAAAAGTCAAACGTGGAAAAGTACAGCAACACTTTCTGACCCAACACCCGCGGCCCACCCACTCTATGCTGCCGGCATCACTCCTCCACAACTCTCTTTTGTACTTTTTGTCAGACAAATTTTTTTTAATCAGGTTTGAACATGCTTTAAATACATTTGTTAATCACAATATATTCTGTTATATGTTTGGGTATTAAAAAAGAGATCAGCTCAAATATTCAGCAACAAAACACAAACAAAACAAAAAACTTGCATGTGCACAGTTATGTTAAAGTCACGACTTACAAATTCCACCTGACCCCTGCTCATTTGATCACTTTCCACCGCCTTTTAACTGCCTGGCTTCTAATCAGAACGAGTGATCACCGTTTGGCTTGCGGAGTCAGAAGTGGAAATCACCGTGGCGCCCGAGAGACCTACCTTTTATCTCCCGTCAAAGATGATAATGTGCTCCTAATGATCTCCGCGGTGATTATCGGCAAATGGCTGTAAACCAGGTCAAAGGAGACACGAGGGGGTGGCTCTGATGCGGCTGCAGCGGTCGGAAGAAGCTTCTCGCCACATGCGCTTCGTGTCCGTGGGTCAAATTTGTCTGGGTCATCGCCTGTGCAGTGACGATGAGGTTGACCATATGGTGCGGATTTGTGTTTTGTACAATGGGCAATTAGCAGAAAATGCAGCTCTCGTCTGTGTGGATGTTAACTGGGATGGAAAACTGAAATTGGCAAAGGTCTTTTTTTAAAGTTTGCACAAAGTTGGTGCTTTACTTTTTATTTTGTACTGGTTTGGTTTTAGGCGCCAGCAGATTTGCACTTGGTTGAATAACAGCTTCTAATTCACCTAATGCATGCATATTTATTGACATCGCAGGAGTAGAATCTTGGATATCAGTCCGACTGCAGTCAGAATGAACTCACGTCGTGGTTTACAACAATGTTATGTAAGCTCTGGCTGTTAACAACTCTGCTATTCTTCACTCAGAATCTAAAATTGGGAAGTACTCCAATCGTCTTACTCCATCCA